GCACACCGCTACTACGACCGGTGTGACTCAGCGGCCAGCAATCTCATTCATCGAGGAGAGGAGGATTCGCGACGAATCGCGCGCGTATAAAACGCTTTCGCGACGCGGCTGGTCGGGGAACCAAAACGTTTTCTAGGATGGGAAAAGCGTTTCGATAATTAGATCCATTGGTTGAACAATGTCTTGCCTCGTCACTTCGGGCATCTATTTATTCTCTTTCTCTGTGTACCTGTTCGAATGACGAAAATATATCACGTTCACGAGGAAAATTTCGTTTCAATCGATATACGATGAAAGTTCTATCTTCTTCTATCTTCATCTGGAAAATACATATGATTGTGATACGCGAAGTGGTATTCATTGAAATCGAGGTTTTTAACTCTACACTCGCATTTCAAAATCTGAATATCTTGTTGATTTAAAGTTTTCCTCTTAAAATCCTGCGTTAATTTTGGAGGCTAAAACAAATACAAAAAGTCGCCACTCAAAGTTTATTTGTCAAGCAATTGAGATTTTCATTCGCAGCAAGATTGAATTTATAATTCCTGATGAGTAAACTTAATCGATAATTTTTATCGATTTTGATCTTTGTGGTAACGAATATATATAACACCTTAAGCTCTACATATATACCCAAAAAGTTTCATTGAAACAGGGAATTTTCCTCCTTTTCCACGCGACACAAATCGTGAATCAAGTGAGATGAACGCACGTTTCGCCTCTCCACCGACATTTCATTCGTTCCCCTCCCAGTCTGTGTTCTCAACGGGTCAAACGACACAGGAAGATTTAGTATCCCTACAGCTATAAATTCGATTTTCTGAAATTCTAACCTCGATGGCTGTAACCCCATAGGCTGAGAATTAATTGCCCCTTATAGGGAAACACGTAGCTTTCTCAAACGCGTACATTCCTCAGCGTGTAACGTGTCGCGATATTTCGTTGCGGTGGAGATCTCGAGAAGTCGGCTCCTTTCACGGGGTGAAGGACAAGGAGGAGAAGGAGGAGGAGGAGGAGGCGATTTGCGGCTCTCTTTTGACAGATGTTCCGTGAAATCGTGCCACGCAAATGGTGTACGCGCGTCAAAGCGAACTTTGAATTTCTTTCTCTGTCCGCTGCCCACGCTCGACTCGACTTGGCCAATTCGAAATGCGCGTATAACGATAATCGGATGTGTGTGATTTCATCTCTTATTTTCACAGGGTGTTGTCAGTGGATGGGTGGGCAGTAGTGGCAGAGTTGGAAGGAGGGGGGTGGGTATATATCGATTGCCTCCACGCGTTTATATTAGACTTCGAGGTATCGACGTTGTTTAAGTAGAAAGACTTGTACGAAGAATCGTGCCTATAATCCTATTATAACAGATCATTTCCGGTACACTGATCTGTTCCCCGAAGCATCAAGGGCGATATTACGAAAGGATTACGAAGATAACAATAGATGGGTTGATTAAAAAAATGTATAATTCTAAATAATGATACGTCATTTGTTTGACGAAAGAGAAAGAATAAATTCGAGTAAATTCTAATAATAGATAATTATCGATAGATCTTTCTTGAAACGATAATAAATTTAAGATAATAATAGATAGATAAATCGAACGATTCGATCATCCGAGCGATGGAAACGAATGTGATTTAAAAAAAAAAAAAAAGAAAAGAAGAAAGAAAAGAAAAGAGAGAGAGAGAGAGAAAAAGGATTCTCTTGTACATACAAAAGAATGATTCAACGTGGCACGCGCGTAAGTGCATCGCTGTAATTGTTGAAGAGCAGATTCGCACCAAAGATAAAGCTATTCGTCAGTCAGCGGCGTTATTTTTTCCCCTGTCTGGTTATAAATAGATACAGACAATCCGTGTCAGCGGTTTGTGACCCACGGCCTGTTTTGAAACACTTTTATTTTCTTTTCTTTTATTTTTCTCTCTTTCCCCCCCTCCTCTCTCCCTATCTCTCTTTCTCTCTCTCTCTCCCCGCGCGTGAAAATAGCTGTCCATTTATTTCTGTACCGTTAGCCTGCCCTATATTTTTGGCCCCTTAATTTACTAAATCCAAAACACTCTGACAAATATATCCCATCAAACACGCGCAATCATTCCAAAGATTATCACAATTGTTATTTAATCCAAGATCTTTAACACCTCTAACGTCCACCTCTAACGATCGAATTAGCATAATGATACGGGGGGAAACTGTACGTACACGTGAGAATGTGTCGTCTAATGGCGCGATAACCGCCATTGTCCTCCAGGTCGTTGTAAGAAAAAATAATTTTATCAAGCGTGTGCCGTTCCATCGAAAAATTTCTTTCGTTTCGAAAGAAAGATCGGAACCTTTCCAGGATTAAATCGAGGGAAAATTTCCATTCTCTTCGGTCCGACCACAAAATTACCCCTTCATTGTTCAGCGACCGCAATTTACATACAAGATGGGAATATGGTTATATCGTTGTTAAGCGAATTCTTACGACGACTACGCGCAATTTCGCGCGGTTCGTCGAGGAGGCTCTTGGGCTCTCTCGCGATTTTTCTCGCCGTCGAATCGATCGTCAATTTCTCTCCTTTCCCTGCTTTGCCGTTTCCTCTCCACCCCCTCTCCCTCCTCTCCAGACGGCGTTTTTTCTTTCTCGAGCCGATTATTTTCACAAATGCGAAAAATTGGACGGACGCGTGTTCCTTCTTCATTGTCTGGAAACTTATAAATTATTCGTTCACTGTGAATAAGGAGCGAGCAACGGTATCGATGAGAATGTCTCTTTGTGTCTGACACGGATCGTACCCAATCCACTCGAGGATCTTTTCTATCGCGTTCCGCGTGAAATTATAATTCGATCGTGGAAAAATTATTCTTTGGAAGAATTCTAACTTCTCGAAAAAAGTAATATAATAATTGTAATTCTTCTTCTTTGTTATTTTTATACGAATATTTGGAAGTTTAACTTAACAAGAATAATAATAACCAATATATAAATCGAAGAATATTTATTCTTATCGAATACAATTCGCAAGAATTTTTCCATTAATAAAAAAAAAAATACGCGCAAAAATTGAGATAACAATTTCGTTTTCATATCTTCGTACAGCTGTAAAAATAAAATACGCGACAAAATATCATAACTCTTTGCCGAAAAAGAAAAAAAATATTTCGTTGCTTCTCATCAATTCGCTGTTGAATTAAACACAATTGAAAATTAATCAATTCTATCTCTATCTAATTGAAGATCCATCCATTCAGTTTTCGAAGAGAGTGCGAGAGATTATCCTTCGCGTAACAATCGTATAATTGGCAGCAAGATCGAATCTCAAATCGTAATCCTTCTCGATCGACGGTGAATCATACGTTGAATATCGCCGCTGTTTCGAAAGCGCGTACGAGACTCGCATCGCTTACGAATCTTCGAATTAATGCTCGAAGCGAATCGAGGCTTTCGCTCACCCTTTTTATTTCGATCGAATGAATGAAGAGTGGCGGATTGTTATCTGGTCGCATTAACGGCCGATTTGACGAGCAAATTGTCGACCACCAGTATCGCGTCAGTTCCTTCGTTATTTACATTGAGTCACGCCGTAAATATAGATACGCGTTCACGAAGGAACACCGCGAACGAGCCGTGATCCTTTTATCGGCGTACTTTCCCCGTTCGTAATCGGTGATTACCCTAATTCCTTTCATTATCATAATGAAACCTTTCCAACTAACAATTTGCCCTCGGATGAAAGTTACGCGAGAAATTGGAACGAAGATGGAACAGGGTTCACCGGTGGAAGTTATCGAAATGATTTGACGAAGTGGATCGGGAGTAATTTTCCATGCGTGCGTGACGGATTAAATGGATCGTTGCTGAATCGAATTTAAAAATTTCGAGCTAAATATTAAACTTGCCATTGTCAACATTCATTCTTGCACACAGAACGACCATTTTCCCCCTATGTGTATGGATAATAATTCATAATATTATTAGTCTAATTCGTTCGTTCATTTGGAATGTGCATATGGAGGAATATAAGTTGCAAATCTAAGATTTTATAATATAATTTCTTCGACATCATCGTCAAGAGAAACGAAATGATTCGTCGGATCGAAGATTCTTTCGTTTTCTTCACTCTTCACGAAGAAATTTCTTTTATTGCTTTATGAATGAGCGTAGAGGAATTTGGATTCGAATGGACCGAGCAAAAGTTGCGTCGCGGGAACGTCACGTCGAAATTGTAATGTTACGCGCAAGATTAATAATAGCGGACCCCGTGAAGCAGTTATGCAAGGTCATAGGGAGATTCACTGCCATCGGGGCTTGAAACCGTGCCAGGTCGATTCTTTTTCCTCTGTCCTCGACGACCGCGAATCGGCGCTCTCGATATCGTTTGTAACGTTACAAACACGCCAACACGGTGTGCATCGGGATTTTTTTGGCATACGAATCGCTGCATTTTATTGGGTAATTATAAAATAAAAATGGGACACGTCGAATCTCGGAATTTTCTTCGAAATTTAAAATAGCGTCGAGTTTTGTCGAATTTCGAAACGAAATAATCTCGAATAAATATATTTCCTCGAGGAAAGAAGAAAGGGAAGAGAAAGAGAAGAAAACGAGTTTCGAAAAGTTTTCGAAGAATGTTGTGCGAATCTAAAAAAAAATGATAGAATTAATTTTTGCAATTATCCAATTATCTAATTTAGATGATATTGTGAATTCAAATATTTGTGTGGAAACGTAAAACGTAAAACGTATCTTGTGCAGAGTAATCACACAGGGATTCTTAATACTTTCTCTTCCGTTTACAATTTTGTCATTATTGATGATCATTCGTTTCCACGTTATTTTTGACAATAGATTTCACTTTTGACGATTCGATTTCAATGAATAAAAGCAGTCGAAATTACGAGATTATTGGATGATTAACATACGTACGTTTATACATGTAGTCTTGAGGGAGTCTACATGTTATCAGCCACGATAAGTACGTGCAAACCGATACAACGTTACTTCCATTGTTCCGTTTAAACATATAATGCAAATATCATCGATATTTATATAATCAATATACTTATTATATCATGACTCAATTCCAGTAATAGATATTTATAAAAAATATAATCTCGTCAATATTACATGATTTATACGAGCTATTCGCAATTTATCTCTTCCATATTTCCATTAGATATCAATTTTCTTCCTTAATCCGTCGAATTCATCGTCTACGAATATCCAAATGCAAATCCAATTCTGCTCTCTCGTATTCTCCTTTACCATAGCAAAGGAGATATAAAAAGTAAATCAAGATACAAACATAGGTATTAAAATTCAAAATTCAAAGTATCTTCGATCCGAAAGCGAATGGAAATAAAAATTTCCATATGTAACTCGTCACCGAGTCTAAAATCGACGAGGAAACTCCTGTTTGTTCTATAAGCCTCTTTACCACGAGTAATCGACGTAATCGCCAATTTCAGGCAACCTGCACTTCCGACTACGCATCTAAATGAGCCGCGACATGACGCAATCCGGTCGAAATTTATGATTAATCGCAATTCAGATAGGCGCACGCACGTACGTTCTCCCCGTATTTCTTTTTTCGGCTCGGTTGTGGCTTTTGCACGCCGCGGATGGAAGATCCG